CTGACCACTACCGCACAAGGCTAGCAACTGAAGCTGACCAATACCAACACCCCTCTAAGACATAATTGCTGATTGGTCAATACGCCAACAGCCCAGCTCATTTACATATTATACACTACATATATACTACTGCTAAACATCGCTACACAACATAAGTGTAAAACAACTTAATTACTACTAGGCGACTATAGCTTTATCTATAAGCAGAATAAAATAAACTTAAAATAAATGGGAGATGAAAAAGGGCTGATCAAAATAGTTCTGCATAAACAATAATTTAATTAAAATTAAATTATCATTATAATTTATGGATTAGTTTGGTTTGGCATGGTTAAGTATTGTTCATCGTCCTATCAACAGCTATGGTCATTTAAGGACGGCCTCCCCTGTGTGCAAGAGCCAAAAAAAGTTTATTTAAAAAAAAAAGATTATTACACATTTTCAAAACTTGAACTACGTTTTGTTTGTTTTGTCGTCATGCTGTTGCTAGGACATTCACCGGAAATTTAACTTTTTCTAGCGAAAACGTGCTGTCCTCTCTACTGTACTGCCCCATGTATACAGACAGAAAATTTGCTGTATCATTTTTATTTGTACATTGAGTTTCTGCATATATATATTTACCATGAATCAACTTTTACATTCCTTAACCCTTTCACCACTGTATACCATAATGGTATCATCCAGATCAATGCATGGTACGTAGAGTCTACTAAAGTAACATAGGGGTGAAAGGGTTAAAGGGACCCATTAAAAGCGTGCAGCTGATGAGAACACACTGGATACTTACCACTGGTTTGACCATGGGAGATACTTTTGCAGTCACACCAACACCATTAGGAACAGGTCTAGCTGATCCACCTGACAGAGAACTGCCACCCCTTGGACCTGGTTGGGGAGGGGGTTCACCATGGATACCATTGGCAACCACCAGGGAATTCCCAGGTTTTGGCGAGGTATTGCCTCTTACGGATAAAGAGGAACCAACTTTCTGGAGAAGAAAATAACAAAACATGACTTCCATTTCTTACATTTACTCAACACTTTGGGATACATGAATTCAGTTCATAGAGTATCAATTCAGAATTCAAACATTAAGCTAATATGTCTTCATGCATATCTTAATATGAAACATGCAAGATTTAATGTTTCAGACTTGCTTTTCAAAATGAAGGCACTCAAATTTGAAATATTATTGGTATGCCAGCATCAGAGTATTTTTGCCTTCTGTGTCATTGTTACACAATATCTCAAATAAATAAATTCACAAACTCAGATACATGAAATTATCAACTCCACTGCCAACTGTTGTCTCACAGTTAAGTTGTGACCTACCTGGTTCATTGCCAGGGAGGAGCCCAGATTGAGTGAAGATTTCTGCAAGTTTGAGGACATGAAGGATCCAAACATATTGCCTTTGGTAATGTCCTGAATGAAGAAAGGAAAACAAAGCAATCAATATCAAGGCCCCTTTCGCGTATCCAGTTTAACCAGAGCTGAAATGGTTGAAACTGGAAAGTAAATGACAGGCATAGATCTGAACCGAGGCTGACCTCAGGAATATTCAGGACGTGTAGATTATTAAGGGGTCTCGACCTACCTGACCGAAACTTAAATGCTGACCATTAATTGCTAGTTTGCGTCATTTCTTTCTAAAACAATGTCAAGCCACATGTCGTTTTTAAGATACGTGGACACGTGAAAGAAAAGCATAATATTCTTGATACATCGTTATTTATCCTCAGAAACTGTGCATCTTTTTAGCTCTGCCTATAGAACGGTCTAAGTGCGTCGTTTATCTTCGAATATTTCTGCGCCACCTGAACCGTTTCAACCGGGATACGCGAATGCAACACATGTATAGGGGGGAACTTTGGCAGCAAAAAATTGACAATTTCATGAGTACTCATAAAATTTGGTAATTTAAAATTTAGGAATTGATGGTATGACCAAGTTTTTTCTTAAATTTATGTACACAGTTGCATGTAATTCTTACTGAGTGTCATATTGTATATATGTTTAAATGAGTACAGCCCATTTGATATGCTCAAAGGCCCTGAAGAAAAAAACCAAGTTAGATAAGGAAAATATTTTGTCACATTTCACTTCGCTGATGTGAAGTCCAACAATTCAAATTTTGGCAATCTACAACTGAATGCACAAATAAATGCACAACTAAATCATGGTAATTTTTCTGAAATGAAAATTTCATAAAGTATGAATGATATTACTAATCTGGATATATCTCAAATTGACTCCAAGTCAAGTTTCTGTTTCCTGGTGTCAGATGTCATAATCCGTTTACCGTGCGTAATATTCCCTTTAACGTTTTTCATGGTCTCTACAACTTCAGCATTACAATCTTTCAAAAAATGTGTAATTATGATATTATAACTTTATAATATAATCCAATTAACTCAAAATAAAGTCATTCAAACACTGAAAGGCTATGGAGCTAATTATATGTGTCTCTGCAGAGTAACACACAATATGGTGTACTTCCTGGGATGATCACCTATAAACCGTAAAATCTGTTTGAAAAGGATTGAATTCCAAGTGGGCTAATATAGGATACATACATTGGTGTCAATCTGTCCAGTTTTCATGGCGATCTTCAGGGCTTTGGCCTGTTGAATAGCATCCTCCATTCGAGCTTGGTGCATCGCGAACAGATGACGTCTGGTGAAAGTAATGAGAGACGAATAAGTTTGATAACAAGTCAAGTTTGATGTATCCCTCTTTAAGCATCTGAACTCGCACCTGTAGATACTGAGCTAAATTATAATATATACTAAGTATGCAGCCTTGAACTCTATCCATGACATACAAACCCCACAAAGTCATTGCCCATCTGACAACGAGGAGAGTTAAGATTGTTGACTATTTAACTACTGCACAAAAATCAAACCCCATAAATATGTCTCGGGAACAAAACCCCCGACCCCTCTGTAGTACTGACTTACTTTTCCTGTGTAGCTATCGCCGACCACTCTGTAGTACTGACTTACTTTTCCCGTGTAGCTATCGCCGACATTGACATCCTTCCTTTGATTGAGAAGAAGAAAGTCTCCTCTCTCGTTCCTGTGAAGAAGTTTATCAGACTTGCCTGTGTAAAATAGAAATAAATCAAAACTATTTTTTCTTGAACGTTAATAGTTAAGAGAAGAAAACTTGCAAATCTTACAGAGTGACAACTTAATGCAAAAAAGGTAAGAGAAAAAACTTTAGCCTAAGGTGATCTGTAATGTTCATATTTCTTAATTAAACTTCGAACCATTTGACTTTTTCTGACAGATTTTGATATAACCATGAATGTAAACTGTTATAGAGAAGGCTATAGAGATATATACCTGGACAGACTTGTTGCTGTTATAGAGAAGGCTATATATATATATATATACCTGGGCAGACTTGTTGCTGTTATAGAGAAGGCTATAGATATATATATAACTGGACAGACTTGTTGCTGTTATAGAGAAGGCTATAGATATGTATATACCTGGACAGACTTGTTGCTGTTATAGAGAAGACTATATATATATATATACCTGGACAGACATGTTGCTGTTATAGAGAAGGCTATAGAGATATATATACCTCGACAGACTTGTTGCTGTTATAGAGAAGGCTATAGATATATACCTGGACAGACTTGTTGCTGTTATAGAGAAGACTATATATATATATATACCTGGACAGACATGTTGCTGTTATAGAGAAGGCTATAGAGATATATATACCTCGACAGACTTGTTGCTGTTATAGAGAAGGCTATAGATATATACCTGGACAGACTTATTGCTGTTATAGAGAAGGCTATAGATATATACCTGGACAGACTTGTTGCTGTTATAGAGAAGGCTATAGAGATATATATACCTGGATAGACTTGGTGCTATTATAGAGAAGGCTATAGATATATATATACCTGGACAGACTTGTTGCTGTTATAGAGAAGGCTATATATATATATATATACCTGGACAGACTTGTTGCTGTTATAGAGAAGGCTATAGATATATACCTGGTTAGACTTATTGCTGTTATAGAGAAGGCTATAGAGATATATATACCTGGATAGACTTGTTGCTGTTATAGAGAAGGCTATAGATATATACATACCTGTACAGACTCGTTGCCGTTATAGAGAAGGTTGGCCATGAAGACCAGCACCTCCCTAACCACATCGTCCTGAGGGCGTGACAAGTGGTCGAGCACACTGGAGACAGCTCCACAGTTGTCCAGTGCATCCTGGACCTGGTCAATCACACGCAGTTGTCTGTAACAAAAAGAAGGCATGTGACAGGCCAAACTGTGATCTAAACAGAGAACCTCTCATCCCTAAACCTAGATATATGGTCACTGAAAATCAACCCAATCTAGATCAGCACATCACTGCTTCCTCAAGTTTGAAGCCATTACCCCTAAGGACATGGCTATATATAACTCATGTTCGAGTGTCTTGACAAGCACAAACAATATCTGTTGCAAGATTTGTAATAGCTTCTTGTTTTATTTGATCTAATATGGTTTTATTTGTTCGCAAATTTCACAGAAATTGATACACATGTTCAGGATGTAATTTGAGAAATATTTCTCATCCCATTTAGAGAGGAGCATCAGGTCATGCTCATCTACATTGTTGATAACTTGCTTTCTTTAACCTTTCATTGCATTGAGGACTTGTGCTCAAAAATAAGCCAAAGAGCTAACCTGTTTCATCAATGTTTTGTCAGAACCAAGGTAAATTCTTTAAAAAAACTTCTGTATTCAGATTACAAAATTTCCTTGGTAAGCTTTGTGCCATGTTGGCTTCAAATCAGCTCAGTGAATCGAAAATGACTCGTTCTATCAAATACCATGGCAGCCATTTTGGATATCATTCCGCACCAAGGAACAGTTAAAACTTGGCAAGGACAAATAAAAGGACGAGTCCTGTATACCAAGCATAGAAAGTATACAGAAGTATTTAAAATAAAATAAATATTTTTTAATAACTTACCTTGGTTCCGACAAAAAATATGTCTCAACCAATCGAACAACAATGTAGCCATCTTACTTTTTCTTTTAGCAATATAAATGTGTGATTTTTAATTTGTGTCGACTTTGAATCTTTGCACTGATAATACGATAATCAAGTTTACATACGGATACATCGCAGCCACCCTCATCACTCATGTGTTCTTGTGTATATGACCGAGCTAGTTTTAGCTGATACACACCAAGTGTAAAATTTCGCTCTGTCATACACCATTTCATCATAAAAAGGTGTCAATATTTTTTTTTTAAATTTGATTAAAAAGTAGTTCTCATTAGCATTATCATAGTGAATGAATGTTGTCTGTTGGCAGCTAGGAGGTGACGGGTCCTTACTTTCTGTGTTCGGACGAGTTCTGTTCCCAGCCTTCAGGAAGTTTACAGATCTCATTGAAGATGAGTCCTCGGAGAAGCTGCAGCGTCTTGATGTCCAGGTTCACCTGATCCAACTTCTCTTTCTCACTCAGGTTGGTCAGGCTTGACGAGATTCTACCAAAATTCAAAATTACATCACAATTTGTGAGATATGAATATTTGGTCTTGTTCATTGTACTTCAGCTCTTAAATGTATCATTTGTCATGGGGGAAAAATCCAATTACTTCTTTAAGCTTTCAAGTTTGATAAATCAATTGCTTAATTTATATAATCTACACTTAAGGTTACGTAAGAGCCAAAGGAAGAGGAATGACATCAAGATCTCAATATATTAGAAATCTTGTAATATAATATGGTATATATTTTATATTGTAATTAATTATTACTTCATTATCACTTATATACATATGGTAGGTATTAGGTTTTGTTATACATGTTTTGTATTTGCATATGTTGTCTGGTGTGAAAGATGGCGCAAGGACCTTTAATGAATCTGCCTGTGTATGTGACATGTACTTACCTGTGTGTGCATGTGAGTGAGTGAGTTGTTATGACACCTGACTAAGGACGGGCCATATGATTGGTCAGGAAGAATGCCTCAGTTTACCTTAATGTAAAGGCTTATTTGGCCAACTTGGGCACTCCACTCCTCATGACCAGCTGACATGAACCATGTAGTTTGAATTTGGAAAAAGTCAAAAGTCTTCGGCTGGTAAGTTTTCATTCTATTTGTTTAATAGGTTTTTTGTACATCTAATATAACAGAAAATGTAAGGAATATACCATTTTTTTGTAATTCAATTGTGGCTATGTAATTTTATCTTTTTCTATCAAACAGTAATTGACATTTTGTCATTGAACAATTTCAAGGTCAAAGTGAAATTGAGTATGTAAAAATATTAGTCTTTTTGTTATTTAACTTTCTATGAATTGGCATCAAAATCACAATGGTCAAATTGTTTATCAGGTAAATTTATATTATTTTAGTGTAAAGCTCTTGCTGGTTGGACTTGAAATTGTACTTGTCATTGAGAGGAATTGTGGGGAAACCTCCACACCATAGCTGTGGGGTGAGTGTTCAATGAGTCTAGAATGCTTTAATGTGTATGTTACTATATTTTTATCTATAGAATGTATCTGGAATTTTAAAAGTGTGTATGAGTAATTTGCAATAGTAAAAGTATAATAGGATTGATAGTACACTGTAATGCTATTTATGTAATTTATGTAACGAATGAATTTATAACCTTTTGGAAAAGATAACTGAATACATACATTCAAGTTAAAGATTTAGAAATTAGTATTTAAAAAAATTATGTACATTTGATAGGGTAAAATAGCATTTGTCGATAGAGTTATTTCCCTTATGTATGTTATATATGCAAGTATGTGAGGTATGTTCGGTTGCATGTAAGATTTATATGTGAATGTATTTGTTTTGTCAACAGGGTTTTTATAATGGAATAATAGATGCATCCAAAGACTAAACCGGATCTGATTTGTGACTGTGATCCCCGGTAACAGTAATATATTGTTCTAAATGCATAAATTACATCAATGAATGTGTTCTCAACACTTGAGTTACTTACGCCATCATTTTGACGAGTTTACTTGCTAAGGAATACTTCTCACGCGGTGTTTTGGCTTGTCTGTTAATGAAACACTCTAGATGTTCCTGGAACTCCCTACCTAGAGGGAGCTCTTCATCTCCTCCAACCTCAGAATATGCTGAAATATATCAAAGCTAGGGCAATACAGAACACTACATTATAGCATCTGTAGAGTCTTTATTAATTACAGTTTTTGTGATATTTTCAATCAACATGTTTTTTCTTCACTTGAGAAGAAAGCATGAGCGCCTGTAGTGTTTCTGCATGTTGTTTTATACTTCTATTTCAGGGGAATGCACTCTAAACACGTACACAGAGGAACAACAAGTGATGGTCACATGATGTGATCACTCTTACCTCACAATATACCAAAAAATGTTTTCACTTGTGGAAATATAACTATGCCATATGTGTGAAATATATAGAGGATATTACATGAGTTTCCATTTCGTATGCAAATTAATATAAAAAAATGTTGTACTATAAGGTTTTCCATGAAACATAATCCAATTCAGTATTCTTACATGATGGGAGGCAAGTTTTTATCGAAGGCCACATGTGTTAAGTTAACCTAGGAGTCTGGATATCGGATAATCTTAACTTCTCCCACCATATTAAAAAAGTTGTGTCAAAAAGTATGCAAATGCTTAGAGTTTTAAAAACATTCATGCAAACCTTTTCAAAACGTATAAGTAATAATTAAGGTCATTGTATATAAGTTTAGTCAGAAGTCAATTGGAGTATTGCAGCAAGATTTGGTCACTGCACCAAACTACTTTTATATGCCAGCTGGAATCAGTACAAAGAAAGTGTTTAAATTGTTTGTGCTTTAAGGCAAATTTTGATTTCCATAGCCATTCTTATTCTGATATATATGTAAACATTTTAATCTGCCTTCTTTGGAAAGGAGACGACAATATCTGGATATTTGCTTCCTTTTTAAATGTATTCATGGGCTGTTCGACTGTTCGTTTTTAGTCGAAAAGATTGGTATTTTAGTTCAGAGAAAATTTCTACGTTCTGCTAGTATTTTACAATCTAGTTGTCCACATAGTAGGATTATGTCCGAAAATTTAGCACTATTCATCGTGCAGTAAGAACTTCAAACAGAAATGCCCGTGAGGATGAGACTTATCAATATGTTTCAAAATATGAGAAAGACATACGTCCATCTGAGGGGAATCCGATCTGTGCTTGTACAGTGTTACTGCCTCCGTAGGCCTTTTTCATGTTCATGGAGAAGTCATTGAGTTGATCGTTGATTTCGTTCTCTCCCTCATAGTAATCGTCATACGTCTGTAATACCAAGAATTTATATATAGAACTTAATCATATCATCTATGATATTGACGAGGGGCCACTTAAAAAGGCTTTTACTATATATGTAAAATCAAACTTAGCACGAGAAGTTCAAAAGGATGTTTTTATTTCCTTTTTTCGTTAAAAAAAAGTGTTTTTCATGTTCACTTCAACTTTAAACCTTCCCCAAAAGAAAAAGACATATCAATATAAAACAGATAGAAACTGTCTTACAACAGAAACAAAATGTGTTTCTTTATCTCAGATATATAACTTACCTTTTTACTGTCACTGCGGACATCTTGTTGAACCTTCCCATTACCTATCTGTTCTTGGAATTCTTGAATTTCCTATTAAACATTATGTATCAAGCTTAGTTTACATTTTTTCGTGATACATACTCATTAAATGACGTCCATTTTATGCATAAATTTGTTCTTGAGAAATATCGGTTCAATTTAAAATGATTCTACCATATTTCTGAGTGCCAATTATGCTTATACATTTGTAGCTTAATTAACTATAGTTTTCTAGTTTTGTCCTGGTTTCATTTTTCACCTTGAACAAGAGGTCTGGCTCAACAGAGGATTAAACGATTTTAACCGAGGTCAGATACTCACAGATACCAACACCTCAAATCAGAGAACAGGTTCAGTACAGTGCAACTATAATTTTGTGAAGAGTGCATGGTCGCGGATAAAACGGGGTGAACATAATAAGATTAACAGTCCCCCTAGAAACACGTCCCCCGGTGACACGGAGACCAAGAGGGTGCTTACTCTGGAGACAATGAGGGAGGTTTTTGCTGGTGACTTACTGAGAAGGGAAGAGTAGAGGCCGACATCAGGGTAGTCATACAGGCATTGAGTTTCTTGTATTGTCCCTCATCACTGATGAGAGGTCCAATCACACTGCTGAAGTCCTGCAAGGTTAAGACATTGATCACTATATTGTAAAGCACGGACAAATGGCATTGTGAAAACCATGAAAGTTATGAAATCTCTTGCTTCAGCCATAGCAGTAATGACAAAGACAGTCAAAGAAATTCTTGCTTCAGACATAGTAATAATGATGATTTAGTCACTAAAACTCTTGAATCATGAGGCAATGATATCAACAGATTTCACAAACACTGGCACAGTACTTTGCAAAGGAATATATTTCACCTATAGCAACATCACCGAGTAATGAAAACTGATAGTAGACGTAGTGGCATTTTTGAAACTTATATCACAAATAATATGTCCAAGAGAAGAATTTCATGAATGTCTGAGTACCCTAGGAAAATGGCTGCCATGGAAACGGATTTGACAAACAGTCACCTACTATTACTTGAAAAAGGAATACATTTTAAAACCGGTGACACTTGAAATTATTTAGTGTCTAAATGAAACTGTTATGTTCTGCACTGACCTTGAAGTTTCGTGTAAGGACATCCATGTTCTGTGGTTCAGTCGGGAACATAGCCGGGTCAGGCTGAAAGTAGTTCTTACAGAAGATCTACGGAGTAAACAGCATTGTGTGCATCACTGTTAACAGCTTCGAAATCACTTTATTATTAAGTTCATTGAAAACCTAATATACACTGTAATGTGAAATATTCATGCATGTATATTTTCTCAATTCACAATGCATTGAAAATATGCAGAAACATCACTAATACAGGAAGTTTAGATTAAAATATTGATATACAATAACAAAGTATTGTGGCAGGTTTTAGTTGTACATGGGATTAAGGTCGCCTACTAGCTTCGAGCTAGACGGAATTTCCCTTTAGCTCAGTGGTAGAGCGTCCGACTAGGAACCTGGAAATCGTGGGTTCAATCCCCGGTGGAAGCACATGTACACTATTCTCTTTCCTGTTACAAATGGTGTTTGTGGCCCTATCTGTAGTGACAGGGAGTTAGAACCTTGGTTGTGGTGTTCAAGGGCAAACACATTTAAAAAGGGGGGAGTAGGTAGTGTGGCAGGTTTTAATTGTACATAGGATTAAGGTCGCCTACTAGCTTCAAGCTAGAGGGAACTTCCCTTTAGCTCAGTGGTAGAGCGTCCGACTAGGAACCTGGAGTTCGAGTGTTTGATCCCCGGTGGAAGCACACTATTCTCTTTCCATTTACAGTTTCAACTATAGTCTTTCACTGCTGTTTAAATTACGATAGAAAAGTATTTGAATTGTGTGCTTGGGGAGGTATTCAAACTGTTTGGGAATGAGGTGAGGTTTTGTATTTTATAAGGAGGTAAGTCTTTGAAATGCACATCTAGGATTTAAGAAATTACCTGTAGGAAAGGCATGACAGCATCAAACAGGTAGTGCATACTGCCCTGTATAATCTCCTGTCTCGATATCTGTTTGGTACTGAAACAATATACAAACAATAGTCATCTCTCTGTATAATCTCCTGTCTCAATATCTGTTTGGTACTGAAACAATATACAAACAGGTAGTGCATACTGCCCTGTATAATCTCCTTTCTCAGTATCTGTTTGGTACTGAAACAATATACAAACAATAGTCATCTCCCTGTTCACCGTCCTTTACATATTATGTGCATTTGTTTCCAGTTGGCCCCAATTGAGAAATTAACTAATTGTGAAAACTACGTGATTTTTAGCCAGGAAAAACAACCTCATTTTGAACCAATTGCATTGACATAAGTCTCAAATGTTTCTAAGACTTACACCCTTGGGGGCGGCTTCTTGACCAGTTGTTTGGCACTCTTTGGGTTTTCTCGGCTGAAGTCAGTAACAGACTTGAGAGTTTTGTTGAGGGTCTCTATATAGTTCCACATGGTTCTGTGTAAGTAAAAGTTGTTTAGATTATTAATATGTGAAATAATATACAGACGGTTTCCTGTGTCACAACAATAATCAACCAAAACATTACTTCTGTCAGACTTTAAAATTTCGTATGTATATTGGAACATTAATTAAACTTAGACTCCAATGCACTACAAGCTCAATAACCCAGTAACTTTTCATTTCTTTTTGTTCCCAGCAAAAGGGACAATGCATTGTCAGTGGGCTAAACAATTTGTACAGATAAAAATGCATGTGTTTGCAATATACATTATACGTAGCCTGATGCCTATATCCTTTTTTTTTAGATTAAATTTTAGCGACAATTTTTTTTTTCTTTTCTGGAGAGTGTCCTATTCCTGATATTTTGGAAAACAATTTATTTGACTTAAATTGATAAGGAGCAGCCCGGCTTACTTGTCGTGGGGTAGGTCTCCTGCTCCACTCTCGATCATGCCACCAGCGGAGTTGAGGTACACCCACAAGATGAAGCGCAGGAAAGGCCTCTTGAGGTTGTCACTCACTTTGGGGTTGTTCAGAATTCTCATCAGCTCTGGGATCTGGAAGATTGTCTGACAGATGGACTCGATGAACTGGTTTTCCCCCTAGACGTCAATGTAAAGGAAATGAATCACAAACCTATGACAGACAAATTTGTATACTTCAATTGCTTCAATTACCGGCAAATTCGTATGTTACTCATAGCACACTGTGATACGTATACACTCATATTGTAATCATTGCTTCAATAACAGGCAAAATTATGTTTAATACCCATAGCACACTAGGATATATTCATACTGTAATCAATACCCAAGAAAACCCACATGGTCAATACAATCCTATAAACAGGTTTCTGTGAGTGTGAGAAGGTTAACATTACTGACCTCAGCACACGTGGCCAGCATGTCCATCATGGCCACCAGGTACTGCAGGTCCTTGTGACCATTGTCCATCAGGATCTTCTCCCTGTCAAAAGGTCAATTACATCATCAAGGTCAAAGATTATTACTACTGAAATTACGATCGTTATTACAAAAGGACTATATCCACTAAGGGTTGTTTTTGGCCCCGCACCTCATCCCTTTATACTTATACCAATGAAAAGTGCAAAGTTAAGAACAAACAAATTCAGTAAAACTTCAAATGTTTATTTGTGTTTGTCCTTAGCAACATGCCATTGCAATTTTACAACACAAAAATATGTGTCAATTTTTGTTATCACAGGAACGACAAAATCCGGATAATGTGGTCGCGTTGACTATCTGTAGTCATCCCTCATTTGTGTTTCTGTCCAAGTTCCACTTTTTGAGATAGTTTTTTCAATCTTAAGATATGAGTCAGTCGTGCTCCAAAACAAAATTTAAGGAGCTGATTTGTATTCCGTAAAGGAAATCAAAACTAAAATATCTTTGAAGCAAAACTGTGCTCCAACTTAATTCTGATGTTGCACACATACATTTCGGTTGTTTTTGCGGAAATCTTGTACATGCACCTCAATAAACCACCCCAATTTTATATTCAAAACAATATAATTCAAATCAAAGGTTATTTTCAGAACAATAATGCATCTTTATTGCTATTTCAAATTATACTTCAAATCATATAAATGTAAAGTTTGTAAAATCATGAATGTCAGAATAGTGGGGCAGATAACAGGGCATACCACATTTGGTCCTTTACAGCTTCAAGTTCAAAGAGGAAAGCTACTGTGAGTCCAGGTATATTGCAAGACATGAAATATTCCTCAGCAGTTAACTTTGGTTGTTTGATTTTTAGGAACCAAGTAACAACTTTCACAGTAGGAGTGAACCTACAGTTCAACTTCTTAAGCAAAGCCACAAATATAAATATAGCGAAAGAACTATTTATGCATAGGAAACATTCAATGGAATTGTTACGACTGGAGAGAAACCAAACCAACACAGATTTTCTGTACAAGCCAGAAGGAGTTCACAAGTTCAGTGCGCTACCTTGCGGATTCCTCCTGGTCTATGACGTAGGCCACGTCAGCCCTGAACTGCATGAAGTACTGCATGACAAAACCTTGGTTACGTTTGATCGGCAGGTCCAACTCCTCCACTTTGACGACAGCATTGAGAAGGTCAAGGAACTGGGGAACAGTTTCTTTACAACGAGCCACCATAGACATGATATTCTGTACCTGTCGTCCTGTGATCTTCATACAGGTCTTGGTGTTCCCCACAAACAGCTGGAAACACAAACCATCTGTCAGATTATATCACTGAACCAGTGGTGTTATAGAACCTACATGTTTGTATGTTCTCTAGAAGCCAATAATGGGAGTAGAAACTTTGGAACTAAGGCTACATTTGCGTATCCCGGTTGAAACGGTACGTGTGGCGCAGAAATATTCCACGATAAACGAACGCACTTGGACCGTTCTATAGGCAAAGCTAAAAATGCACAGTTTCAGAGAATAAATAACAATGCATCAAAAATGTTATGCCCTTCTTTCATGCGTCCACTGAATTACATAACGTATCTTAAAAACTACACGTGTCTTGACATTGTTTTAGAAAGAAATAATGCAAACTAGCAATAGTCAGCATTTTAGTTTCGGTCAGGTACGTCTGGACCCCTCAATCTACACGCGCCAAATTTGTCTGAGGTCAGCCCCGGTCCAGATCTGTGCCTGTCGTTTTCTTTACAGGTTCAACCGTTTCAACCGGATACACGAATGTACCCCAAGTCAGATTGACTGAAGATCGTCCAGAATTAATTTATATCGGTGAAATGTAAACATTTCAAATAAAAGTATTGCTAAGAATTAACTAGAAACAAAAGTGTGGTAAGAAAGGTCTGAAAAAAGTTTGGAGCACAACAAATACAATACAATACTTGTGATATTATTGTGATTATATAGCCGACATTTTCAGTATCGTGTAATAATTAAGTCATGAAGTTCTCTGTAAAAGATATCTGTTCATTAAAATGTCCTGGGAAGGGCAATTCAAAAACAGTATTATTAGGTATATATTAGTAAGATGGATCTGAGCTTTTCTATTGACTTACGCTTGCTTAATTTTATTCCTACATTTAAAGTGTCCATTTCAGAGCTAATTAAAACTTAGATATAGGTTTGTTTACCTCGGCTATACAATCGGCCAGCTCCACTTCTACTCCTTGAACTTTCAACAGAAGGTCCAGTCGGTCAAACAGTCTGTTCTGTACCAGTTTGTTCAAACGTGACATTAACTTCAGCAGTGTAAAGGTCTTCCTGAAAATCTTCCTCTGCCCAGTATACTGGTCCTATACAACAAATTAATAAAAGACTCAGAAATGGGATACTCGATCAGACTGCAGAATTAATTCATGGATAATTTATTTATTCTGCGATAATCCCAGGGGGTCAACATATATAGTAACTGACTCAATTGATAAGTGTTGAGGTTATTAGCATTTCTACTGAAATCTCATAGATTAGGGTAGACTAAGCACTAACAGGCATATGCTTATTGCGGTGGGTAAATTAACAAATTCAATGGTTAGCAATAAAATATTTGAAATCAAGTAAAATTTTCTGATGATCTAAGAAATTGAAATTGCACAGGTCCATATTTCTTTATATACATATGGCATGTACTACACTAGACAAAAGCTATATATGGTGGACAAACAAGTTTCCATCACCTATACTTTCTTATCTAACATTCAATGAAGTGCCACTTTGCCTTAAGTACTAATGACAGATCCGACCTATAGCAAACATAGGTTACTGTATGCAATACCTACCATGAGCTTGGTGTCGATTTTCTGAGTGAGTATGGTGAAGCACAGCTCAATGATTCCTGTCAGATTAAAAATACCACCAAATTAAAACCTTATCATCAAAATTCCATGTATTTATACATGCTAATGGGTTTATTTCATGAAAACTTTGCATAGTTTTTGTTACCTAGTACTCCACAAAAAACAAGCCATTTGGATTGATATGTCTTGTTGCCTATACCCCCC